AGTGGAATGTCACATAGATTCTAGGTGTTAGTGGAGTGGTGTGTAGTGAGTGGAATGTCACATTGATTCTAGGTGTTAGTGGAGTGGTGTGTAGTGAGTAGAATGTCATAGATTCTGGGTGTTAGTTGAGTGGTGTGTAGTGAGTGGAATGTCACTGATTCTAGGTGTTAGTGGAGTGGTGTGTAGTGAGTAGAATGTCATATAGATTCTGGGTGTTAGTGGAGTGGTGTGTAGTGAGTGGAATGCCACATAGATTCTAGGTGTTAGCTGAGTTGTGTGTAGTGAGTAGAATGTCTCATAGATTCTAGGTGTTAGTGGAATGCTGTGTAGTGAGTGGTATGTCACATAGATTCTAGATGTTAGCTGAGTTGTGTGTAGTGAGTAGAATGTCACATAGATTCTAGGTGTTAGTGGAGTGCTGTGTAGTGAGTGGAATGTCACATAGATTCTAGGCATTAGTGGAGTGGCATATAGTATATGTTCTTCTCTTAGTACTGTACCTAGTAGTAGTGTGTCTTTTATGTGATTTAGTTACTTCTTTTTGTTATACTTTTATTACAATTAGCTAAAATTGAGATGTAGTTTCACAATACGGCGTAATAAAGTTATTATTATTATTATTATAGTAAGTGGAATTTGCCACTTAGATTCTAGGCATTGGTGGAGCACATGGTGTATTGTGAATGGCATGCCACATACATTCTACGCTAATATAATGCTTGTTATTTTTAGGACATCTTAGAAAATGATAGCATTCAGTTAGACAATTTGTTTAAGGCATCTTTTATTGCTGATCTGATGAAAGGAATGGTCTATATACATAGCAGTGAAATACGATCACATGGCAACCTGAAATCATCTAACTGTGTTGTCAACAATCGATGGATGTTGAAGATTACTGATTATGGACTACATGAGATCAAGAAGGGACAACTAGAAGAAGATGCCGGAGAGTATGCGTATTATTCCAGTAAGGCCAAGGAAAATAATAACTGTGTTGCCAATATTATAACCCTAAATCTCAATATTTTGTGTGTGTGTGTGTGTGGTACCAACATTGTGACAGCTTTAATTTAACTTCACACCGACTTGTGGCGACAGGACCTACATTGTGACGACCCTCACTATTTTCATAATTTATATTAATTATTTATGAGTTCAAAATGTTCTTCTGTTTAAGATCTGCTGTGGCGTGCTCCTGAACACCTTCGTGAAGGCAAGGCAATGACACTGGGTGGATCGTTAAAAGGAGATGTCTATTCATTTGCCATGATATTACAAGAAATCTACACACGTGCACAACCTTTTCATATGAATGACGAAGAACCTAAGGGTAAACAATTAGTAATTTAAAATAGAAATGAATTTTAAAAATGAAAATGGATATAAAAATGAAACAAAACTCAAAATAAAAATAATTTTAAGATGAAAATTTTTTTTTTTTAAAAAGTTGTAATGTGTGCCACCTCGGTTGACGTACTTAAAATTGATAAAAGCTTTTCAATTAAATTATCCTGACAATGCAACTCTTCTTTTATGATATTTTTTTGGTATAACACTCAAACAATAGTTTGAATAAAATTACAGAAAGGCAACAATAGTTTGAATGAAATTACAGAATACCAACAATAGTTTGAATGGAATTACAGAAAGCCAACAATAGTTTGAATGGAATTACAGAAAGCCAACAATAGTTTGAATAGAATTACAGAAAGCCAACAAATAGTTTGAATGAAATTACAAAAAGCCAACAATTGTTTGAATGGAGTTACAGAAAGCCAACAATAGTTTGAATGGAATTACAGAAAGCCAACAATAGTTTGAATGAAAATACAGAAAGCCAACAATAGTTTGAATGAAATTACAGAAAGCCAACAATAGTTTGAATGAAATTACAGAAAGCCAACAATAGTTTGAATGGAATGACAGAAAGCCAACAATAGTTTGAATGAAATTACAGTAAGCCAACAAATAGTTTGAGTGAAATTGTAGAAAGCCAACAATAGTTTGAAAGAAATTATAGAAAGCCAACAATAGTTTGAAAGAAATTATAGAAAGCCAACAATTGTTTGAATGGAATTACAGAAAGCCAACAATAGTTTGAATGAAATTTCAGAAAGCCAACAATAGTTTGAATGGAATTACAGAAAGCCAACAATAGTTTGAATGGAATTACAGAAAGCCAACAATAGTTTGAATGAAATTACAGAAAGCCAACAATAGTTTGAATGAAATTACAGAAAGCCAACAATAGTTTGAATGAAATTGTAGAAAGCCAACAATAGTTTGAATGAAATTGTAGAAAGGCAACAATAGTTTGAATGAAATTACAGAAAGCCAACAATAGTTTGAATGAAATTATAGAAAGGCAACAATAGTTTGAATGAAAATACAGAAAGTCAACAATAGTTTGAATGAAATTACAGTAAGCCACCAATAGTTTGAATGAAATTGTAGAAAGCCAACAATAGTTTGAATGAAATTGTAGAAAGCCAACAATAGTTTGAATGAAATTATAGAAAGGCAACAATAGTTTGAATGAAATTACAGAAAGCCAACAATAGTTTGAATGACATTATAGAAAGGCAACAATAGTTTGAATGAAATTGTAGAAAGCCAACAATAGTTTGAATGAAATTATAGAAAGGCAACAATAGTTTGAATGAAATTACAGAAAGCCAACAATAGTTTGAATGACATTATAGAAAGGCAACAATAGTTTGAATGAAATTACAGAAAGGCAACAATAGTTTGAATGAAATTACAGTAAGCCAACAATAGTTTGGTGAAAAAGCTTCTACATGTAATGATGAGGGAAGAATTCCATGGTGATTGGAGACACCTTCACATGGACAGCATGCCTGCCATGCTTTCCTTAACGACTTTAATTTTGTTTTTCTTGTGTAGGTATTGTTGAGAAATTGATTATTGGTGGTAACCCACCTTATCGTCCAGATATTAGTGACATAACTGAAGATGTAGCACCAAAATGCATCATAGAAGCAATGCAAGTCTGCTGGGCTGAAGATCCACTAGACAGACCGAGTTTTCTGAAAATTAAAGAAATGCTACATCCATTGCAGAAAGGATTGTAAGTTGACTGTTTGAATTCCTTTCCATCATAATACAGTTACACAGTGTTCATAAAACAATTTGACACATCTATGCAGTTCGCATATCATCTGACTTGTTCTACCATTTAGCTATATTATTATAAACACATTTTAAATTGCATTACCATTGTGCAGTCCATGTAAAACAAAGTAGCTACAATTTAAATTAAAATATCTGATATTACTGAAATGAGAAAAGGCAAGATGTCACAAAATGTCTGCTAGGGGTGAATTCACCCAAAGTACATACATAACAAATATGAATGCAAGTGAACTAGCTGTTTTCAATAAGTTGAAAATAAGCCCCTCCCTGGGTATAAGCCCACCCCTCTATTTTTAGACATTTAAGAAGTTGAGGGCAGTTATATAGGCCCAAGATGTTTTTATCATGCTTTTATGATGGGTTAACATTTATTAATTGCATAAAAATCATGATTGACATGATAGTTCTCATTTTGAAGTGTGTGGTGGCTCTGAGAAGGGCTGTTTGGTTTGTGCTTTTACGAGAAAACTTAATTTCACAGTGCATGGTGAACAATGCAACATGGTTTTCACTTTTTCTGACGAACCCAAATGTTGCAATACTGATAATAATCAGTATATTTTTGAGACCCTAATCGTTTTTACACCATTAATCCAGACGGTATTTATATTGTATTGAGATGAATTGTGCATATTTTTGTGAACATTGTGAACATTTCTTCATTGTAAAAGTGTTCGTGACATCAGGTGAACGTACACTCTACTAATTCACAGACATAACTGGAGTTGAATATCTTTACCAGTGATATTAAACACAGGAGTCCAAACACTTAGAATAGATAAGATTGTAAACAGTTATAAAACACAACCATTGTTAAATGTACAGCGATATTATGTGCAGGATGCAAGCTGTTTTACTCTCAGTCATATGCACATAGATTTTCAACCATCACACATTAGAAAACTTAGCAACTGTATTTGCAGTAGGTCTCTTTGGTCTGAATTGACTGATAAGACTTTAGCAGTCTAAACAATGATTCTACATCGAAAGAACAGACACATGGAACCAAAAACTATAGTGTGATGCCTGCATCAAATACGCACTTTTACAATATCAAATGATAATTTACTTAAATAGATTGACCAACTGTAGTTTTCAATACTAGGCCACATACTAAAGACAAACCTGGCAGTGGGAACTGTGAAACTACTTTTTGTTTATGACCTGTTGTCACCAACTCTGCTTATGCTTTAGAGGTTCCTCCAATCAGATCTATGCATTTTACGGAGGTCAAATACGTGACTTCTCGATAGAACCTGCACAGGTGTACTCTCGTGGGAGAGTACCATATACCAAGCTTGCAATACTGTGCAACTCAGATGATGATATTCCAGTTACTATGTATTATATTTATTTAAAGGAAACCAAATATCATGGATAACATGATAGCCATCATGGAAAGATATTCTAACCAGTTAGAAGAAATTGTCGATGAGAAAACCTCAGAATTAAGACATGAGAAGACTAAAGTTAAATCACTGCTGCTTCGTTTATTACCTCAGTGAGTTATCATATTTATTCTACTTGTGGCATTTCCTGGAATGTTTCCTCTAGTGTTGGAGTTACATTTGCTTTTGTTTTAAGGTAGAATGCTACTCACAAGTTTTTAACATGTGCATATGGCAGTAGCAATATGTCTATAGTTACTTGTTTTAGTATTAGTCAACACTATGTGATCTACCGATTAGCATTGATTGTCAATCTAATTTTTGAGAAAAAATATGCATAAATTATATATATGTGTCACCGAGCAAAATTTTTAATATAGAAATATATCTACCATAGAAAACAATGGTAAAATGCCCTGAAACAGACAAAACATGCTGTTATTACTTTATTTTGCAGGGTGATATTATTAGCTCCGCTGTCGACTTTGTCGAGCGGAGCTTATCATATGAGTGATTGTCCGTCGTCGTCCGGTGTCCGTGTCAATGTTTTACATTTTCGACTTCTTCTTGAAAACTACAAGCCTGAATGCTTTGATACTTGGTGTATATGTACCGTGGGTAGACCTCTCTTAGATTTGTTCATTTCATGATCATATCTTTAATTCTCTAATTTTGGTGAATATTTTTGTCTTTTTTGGTAAAAAGTGATATTTTCGACTTCTTGTTAAAAACGACAAGTCCAATTGCTTTGATATTACATATATAAATACTACATCTGCACCACTCTCAAATTTGTTCATTTTGTAATGATATCTTCAATTCTCTAATTTTGATGAATATTTTTGTCATTTTTGGTAAAAAGTGATATTTTTGAATTCTTGTTGAAAACAGCAAGTCCCATTGCATTGATACTATGCATATTGTTCATTTTCTAATGATATCTTCTGTTCTTTAATTGAAATGTGCATTGCTAACAGCGGAGCTATCTCAGCCGAGAGGCTGCTTGTTATTTCATTTTTATTAATCCTTGTAACATGATACAACAAATATGTAAAAATAAAGAAAATGACAATTATATTTTTACTTTTGTGTAGCGTTCAAATTTGAGGCTATTTCTTGTAGTCCTCTAGTGACAGGAAAATAACCTTGATTATACTTTGTTTTTATAGAAGAGTTTCAGTGTTCATGTACAGTTTATTAGAGGGCGGTAGTCGTTGCGCCATGTATGCCAAAGATATATAGGTCTCATAAAAACAAAGACTTGCGCAGATCAACGAGTACAAACTGAGACGCCATCAAGCTTTAATTAGGTATTTTTTAGGTGATCGGAAGGTATTGAAGGAGTCAGCGGCAGTAATTAGTGCAAGTCGCGCTCAGGTCAAACCTCATACTTGTGATTTTCATTAGAACAGTGCATTTGATTGTGGGAAAATAAATGTTTATCAACACAAATGTCGCACATGCGCAGCGCAATGACCACTGCCCTTTAAGATTAACTCTGTGTTTTTTATTTCCTTAGATCCATTGCATCACAGTTGATAAAAGGTGTTTCTGTACTGCCTCAATCTTACGACATGGTTTCCCTATTTTTTTCTGATATATGTGGCTTCACTGCTCTCTCAGCTGCTAGCACACCAATACAGGTAAGTTCGTCTGTTTCAGTGAAGGCCACCAATCGAATGGTGCATACATAGAACCTGACACCTGTTATATTCGAGTGAGTCACACCTGAATATGTTGACAGAAGTTCTGTTGTGTGATTGGTCACACGATAACTAAAACCCACACAAGGAGCTGAAAGTATGTTTTGACGTCTTAATATTTTGGACCCTATTGGCAAAAATAGAGCTTAAATTCTCAATGAAACTAATATTGGTCATTACATTTTCTATTGTTATGCAAATTACCCAATATGCCAGTGTTTTTCTGGGGAAACATTACCGGTAGTCGTGTTCACACACAGCTCCTTAGCTAAAAATTCAAATACTTTAGCCTGTGCTTAAAAAAACGTGCATGAATACTTAGCTTGGGCTAAGTGCCCAAAATGTTATTGTATTCAATAATAACTGTATCACACTACCGAGCCATCAGCGGGTTCTGTATGGTAAATATATTGTATTCAATGTTCATTTGGAAGATTCACTATACCCGTATATTCATTTCGATACGCCATTTCCAATATGACAATCAACTCAACCACATCTAGAGATATTGTTCTTGAGAAAAACTTCCTGTTCCTGTTATTCTGCAATCTGCACTTTCTGAATTTGCTTTGGTATAGTGTTTTATAACTGTAGAACTAACATGTATACCTTCCTGGTTATTGTAATCATAGTTAAAATAACTGAAGATTTTTTAATCTATCCAATATGCAAACATATGAGATTAGCTTAAATTTTAGCCTGTACTTTTTGTCAGACATGCAGCAGTTACCAAATAAATATCACAGATTGCTGCCTCCCTCTGTTTCTGGAAGCACATTACAATGTTTGTGTTACTGACATCTCATACACAGGTTGTTAATATGCTGAATGACATGTACACCGCATTTGATGCTATCATTTCCAATTATGACGTCTATAAGGTTGAAACCATTGGTGATGCTTATATGCTTGTGTCAGGTTTACCTCTCAAGAATGGAATCAACCATGCTGGTCAGATTGCATCCACTGCATGGCATCTTCTGGGCAATATCCAAAGTTTCAAAGTTCGCCACATGCCAGATAAAGTATTGGAAATGCGTATTGGAATTCATTCAGGTATTGTAAATTTGATTATATAGCTATAAGCATAATCCATAGCGAGTTACAAATTTTATACCAAATTCACTCAATAATGAATAATCCTCATACTGTATTTGTGCTGATTTCTTTTTTCCCCAGCATCTTTCACATTCAGATGTTTTGAATTTATATAAGTTTAATTCACATGGAGTACACATTTAGTACTTATACATGATGTTCTATCATAAAAGAATGCAGTAGGTCTGTATTCATGTCCATTTTTAAATATAACACATGCACAAGTCCGAAGAGAATCCTTTGCATGTCATGAGTGCTCTCCCACAAAATGTTCTACATATTATTATTTCAATATGGGATACATTTGTGAGTCTGCAATATCTAGGCAACAACACTTGAATTAGTATAGCATATGACAAAATTCTTTTTAATATCCAGGTCCTTGTGTAGCTGGTGTTGTTGGTGACACTATGCCCCGATATTGTCTGTTTGGTGACACGGTTCAGACTGGTGCCCGTTACGAATCTAATGGCAAGCGTAAGTTCACTTTTTAGTTGACCAATACTGTAATAAAATACTGAGTATGTACATGAATACAAACTGTACATTGAATTTGTATATTAAGTGGACATTTGTATTTTTACAAGAGCTGCATTGGTGCCCATCGACTATGCAAAGGATTTGTGCTTATTACTTATCTAAAATTTCCCAATACATTTGTACTTTCATTAATTGTCACTTTATATTAATTATTTCAAGCTATGAAAGTTCATGTGAGTCCTGAATGCAAGAAAGTGTTAGATCAGATTGGTGGTTATGATATTGAAGAAAGAGGCTTGGTTGACATGGGGGTAAGCAGTAACCCAATATACTAGGATTTAATTGTTGCCTTCTCAAAAGCTGGCTGCACTTACTCAATTATGTGAAATATTTTGTCTGGATGCAGAAAAACGAGGACTTATGAAAACGAAAAACGGGGACTTATGACTTGATTCCTTTTGTCCTTGCCCTGTATCTTGGATATACCAAGAACCGATCATGTTCAAACTTCATTCGTTGTTGTGAAATGGCTACTATCTTGCTTACAGCCGTTCACATAAAAAATGAAAAACAATATTACAATGACAGATGTTAATGTGATCTAATTACAAATAGGCAAGGTTTCCTCAGATAGTAATATATATTCCCCAAAACTGTTCCCAGGTTTCCCTAATAAATATTATCACAACTCCTCAATTGTGATACATGCCTTCTCCAGTCTTAGGAAAATCACTGATGAGATTCTTTCTGTACTCCATCTCGTCGCTTCTAAAATATAACTGCCTATCCATCATATATAACATATATTGGTTCATTGTTATTCCAGGGAAAGGTAGGTGAGGTAACAACTTACTGGATGAATGGACAAGATCCCAGTTACAAGATTGAGAAGGCCGCACTTCCAGAACAAAAGACAAATGAATGATAATAACCTCTTTGCCATTTTTAGCAATTACATTATACTGCATGTTCTAACATCATGTTACGAAAGTCAAATCTTTATAAATCTTTCATTCAAGGTGTGTAATTTAAAATGATAAATTTGGATTTTAATACTTGTTATTTAATCGTTCTTCTGTTATTTATTCATCTGGTAAATTTTCACTGTGATGGGCATTAACATTTCTGAAATTAGATGATTGATTGTAAAGTACAGATGTACACAATACAGTTTCAAGATTTTGTAATAACCATTCAATAAAGTTTGTGTGATAATTGTCAAAACTAGAAAGTATGTTGTGTCTCACTTGGTTTGAACAATGAGTTGGTCAGTACAAGTTTGTCTCAGAATAATACATAATGGGTCGTGTATGTACCGGGGGGGGAAGGGGGGGGGGGGGTGGGGGTGGTAAGTCCTATTTTTTTTAGATGCAAACAAAAATAGTCAACTGGCATTATGTTTATGGTATCCATGCATATTTCTTTATATGTGTGATTATAATTCCCATATTTTGTCTATCTATTATGGACTTCCAGCCTAGTGTACTAAAATTGAGATACAGATAAAACACGGGGCCCTTTGGTAGAAATGTATATGTACGGT